ATTGCGCATTTTCTGTTATCTTCACCCTTTGTTACCCTTTAAACTTTGCAATATGTCATGATGTTCCATTTGCCTATTTCAGATTCCATATCAGAGGAAACAGACCAAGTGAAACAGATGATTTAGCTTTACTGTCGATATTAGATGAGAAAACTATAGTAGAAAATTTGAAGCAAAGATATATCAAAAATGAATTTTATGTAAGTTTATATATCAGACGAATTACCGTTTTGGATTTGGATAGAACTTTGAAACCACATTGGGATACCATAGAGTTGGGCAATTGAGATTTTTCGTGTATGGCGAAATAGATAATTTATATAATAGAAACGTATATAAGTATATGAAACATGGTCAAAGCAAAATATTGCCAGTGATGACTGATGCAAATACAACAGTGATGACCATCATAAATTCAATCCTCATCAAAATAAAATTAACGATTAAATATCAACAGACTCGAGGTGACTGGCAAGTTTATATATCAGACGAATTACCGTATTGGATTTGGATAGAACTTTGAAACCACATTGGGATACCATAGAGTTGGGCAATTGAGATTTTTCGTGTATGGCGAAATAGATAATTTATATAATAGAAACGTATATAAGTATATGAAACATGGTCAAAGCAAAATATTGCCTCATCAAAATAAAATTAACGCAAATGCTATCAAAATACTTTCACTATTTTGAAATTCGTAGTAAAATAATATTTTTTCTGAACTTTTTTGTGACTCGAAACTAATATCAACAGACTCGAGGTGACTGGCAACAATTTGAATAACATTACTCGACATAAAGAAACTACTTTCAGTTTAATAGTGGGTGTATGTTATAATATTAAGGTTATATCAATATTTATTCTCTCTATAAGTATTTAATCGCGAGAAAGTTACCTAGATCTGTTGTAATTATGTATTATGTATGGTATGCATTCTATACCTTATTGACATATCCCGGGTAGCGTTTAACTCATATTGACACGATTTCGGTGACGGTTTTGTCAAAAGTCTTAATTTTATTTACCCGTTCGAAATGATGTATTATAGATATATATGGAAAAAGTCGGAGAATTAGTTGAAATCATATTGTCCAATATTTTATTTATTTACTTTATTTTTTAATCAATATTTTATTCACAATTATATAAATATACATTATGAAAAGGAGGAACAGGCTTTGCCTATATCATCCCTCTCCATTATTGATTAATGTAACTATAAATACAGTCTTATTAAAATAAGACCTCACTATCGTTCGTATTTTATTAGTTTCGTTTCGAATGTTTTATTTGCTATTAGCTTTGTACGTAACCTAAAGTAAGGTCTAATACTGTCCTTCTTGAATTAATTCTGTTAACCTTTGCTTGGCCCCTGTTTTGACCAATCACGTGGCAGCCCTTTCCAGCGACTGGATACTGTGACACGAACAATAGGTGCATTCCGAGGTGTATTAGACTAGCTTATCAAGTGTGCTCAAACTGAAAGTCGAACAAAACGCATCGGGATGCACCTACAACTGTTACCGCATATTCAACGAATAAATTTCAGATTAAAACTTGGATGTATAGGTAGAGCTTGTTCCTAAACCCAATCAACTTGTGAATAAAATATTATTATATATTTATTTATTTATTTATAACATTTATCTACATGTACATTCGATCATGTTGTAGTTGCTTTGTGCCTTTGAGTTGAGTTATGTTTTAAACGGTTTATCTCATAGCGCCCCTTCCCTCACTGCTCTTAATTTATTCCTATTTTGCCGCTTCCCATTATGTCCCTACCCGATTCACCCATTGTCTATTTTGTCCGTTCCCATTTGGACACTGTTAATGTTAATGTCGTAGTTAACCAGGCATCAAACCCTCCCTTCCCCGAAATAAAATGTCTTCTTTATATTTTACAGACGTATATTGGTGACATATTATTGTTTATTAACCCGTTTAAAACTGTCGATATCTATGGAAAATCGGTAAGTAAAACAAACCCAGAATCAGATAGTTCCCGACTATGAACCATTGACCGTTTCATCAGATATATTTTTTTTATCTTGGGGAGTTGGATTGACCTAATGACTGAAATATTCCAATGATTCCACTTTAATCACAATCATTGATGTCTTTTGATTTTTTTTTGTTAACGATTGGACAATTATAACATTTTTTGTAAAACCGGAATATAATTCGATTAAATCGAGTCGTACGATTTTAAGTCATTTTAGTTTGAGCCTTGTTGAGAGGGTCAAACTAAAACAAACAACAAAACCACACGACTATCAACAACATAAAGAATCACTACTTCTAATCAATCGTCATCCAAACCATTCCTCAAAATCCAGAACATCAGTCCAAAGTATATCAAATCAATCTGATGTTATTGAATTTTTTACCCTTTTGTATTATAGGATCACAAACAGTACACCAATGTTTCAGTCCGCAGTAACTTAAAACCCCACATATTCTGGATAGCCGATCACACGCATCTTCGCATGCTTAGTTCACACAAAAGTCAAAATATAGTTGTCAGTGGAGAATCGGGATCTGGAAAAACAGAAAGTGTGAAGCATATGATAAGCCATGTCACTTATAAGAGTGAGAGCATTCATCCATTTTTGGACGTCAAAATAAATGAGGTTAGAAACAATATTTCTTTGTGTTGGTATACTTTTTTGTAAATTTAGCACATTATTAATTGTCGATGTGCTCACTTCAGAGTAGAGTGAAAAAACAATGCCAACAGTGGTCCGGAAAAAATTTTTAGAACTTCTTTAGTATAAAAGCTATCTCGAACAATTTCATTCCGGCACGTTGATCTTGAAAGATCCAAAATTTTGTGAACAATATTTCAAA